ATATATTTTGTTATGATATGTACAATCGAGAAAAGTATTGGTTTGCTTAAAATATTTTAAAATTCAAAAACATTAAAATAATTCAGATAAGTCAAATAATGAACAACAAACATTTCGAAGAATGAAAGTCTTTTAATTTTGGATTACCTGTATTTAACAAAACGTAAGATGTGCATAAATTATTTTGTTTGTTAAAATATATTTGTATGACGTGAATAAGCTGAAGTGAAATCCATAAGACAATTAAACCGGTTTTTTCCAAATACATTAGTGCAGTGATTAGGACAATAGAATAGATTTTAGAAAGATAGGTTTTTGTTAGTTTTTAAGAATTGGTAGGAAAATATTATTTTGGAAACAATGTTCGGAAAATTTATAATTGTAGGTAAAAATTTGTGTGTTATCGAATGGAAGATGGATGACGCGTTTTGATTGGATGAAATTGAAAAAGGTGGGATGATTGGTTTGAGAATGAGACTTTAGTTAGTTTTATGAACAAAAAAGATAGTCAGTTGGTTTCCAAGGGTAGAAGGCGAACGGCCGTTGTTCTCGGGTAGTTTCCCAGAGGTAGGAAGCAGTAGCAGTGAAAGTTTGTGAGTTTTCGTGTAGTTAGTGTATCTGACAGAAGCTGATCCAGTAAAAGATTGTAAGTTATATTTTCTACTTATATTCCAAGAGTCACTGTTCAGGCCAACAAGAGATTCAGTTTATCGTAAAGAAAAGATATTCCAAGAGTCAGTTTTCACTCAGGCCAACGAGAGATTCAGTTTATTGAGAGAAGAAGAAGCTAGCATAATTTGAACGATTCGTGGATTTGAAGGAGATCATTAAGGACGATAAACTTGCAATAATTTGTTGTAAGATTGCTGATTACCTAGGGAGCGGCTACGAGTAAATAGTATAGTCTACAAGGAACAAGGATTTGGACCACTCATCATCAGAGAGAGATAGTTTGTGTTCTGCAGTTTTTCTTTTATTGATCACACAAATTTTTACACTTAATTAAAAAAGGATATAAATATTTTGATTAGGAGATTTAGAATAATATTTGAATTTTGAGATTTCAACTAATATTGTTTGTACCATTAATTTTGAAGGTTCACGTACGTAGAACAAAATTTTGAGAATCGTTATATGAGATTTTGTTTATTGAAAACATTTGAGTGTGAATTTTATTTCATTATTTTATTTCAATATATAACGTTAGATCCTATATGTTTTTTTTATTATTCCGGTATTCTTTGGACCTTACCTTTCACATGTAATAGCATAGATATTGAAGCACGAATTTAACCCTGAGATAAGAGAATTAAAAAGTGTAATAGAGTCATAATCATATTATTTAAATAATTTTAATTAATTAATTAATTAATTAGCTAATTAATTGCTTGGCGCACCAAGACTTTAAATATCACAATAATATATATATATATATATATAATATATATATATATATATATATATATATATATATATATATTTTATTTTTAATTCATTCGAATGGAAATCATATTTATCCGTTAGTTAGATTTGTTAGCTATCTTACCAAAAATCTTTCAGCACGCTGAAACATTTTTGATTTATTTTATCATTTAAATTAAGGTAATTAAACTACATATTTCTAGAATAGAAATATACTTTATTGTCACTGAAAATTGTACAAGTTTATTGGCAAAGCTTATAAAAGTTAAAAAAGGCAATAATAATAACAATTAAAATTTGCTAAAATTACATAATTGATGGATTCGACCGTAACTTAATGGAAATTCATTTTATGTAACAATAAAACACTTAAAACTTTGTTTTCAAACTTCCACAACATTTATTTTAACTTATCACTACAGCTGTTTCGGCTGATTGCCTTTCTCAAGTGATAAATCGTCAATACCACAAAATAAAACATAATATAATATACAATCTATTGCAAAATTTCACTAAATTGCAAATTGAAAACTGCTTAATAAAACCTTACAACCTAGTTTACGAATCAGTTTAAGTGCTGCATGTGATACCCAAATACATATAAAAATACTTGTAAAAATACTTGAAAGAAGTTTTAGATTAAAGTTGCAAAGGGAGATTTTTTTTTTCCGAATATAATACAGATTTCTTTACTAACTCAGTGGATGGTATCGGTAAATACACATAAAAACTTGAATTTCTAGTGAAGTAGTCATGACTAGGTCTTGCTGGAAAAACGATTAGGTACTTATGAATTAAGCAAAGAGTTTCAGGAATATATAGAGAGGGAAGAGTTAAAATCCTGCGATTTTTGAAGTAGCTTTTGCAATATTTTATTGTAATGAGGCCAAAAAGGTACCGTATTGCTTTTTTTGTAATGTAAAAATAACATCAGGTTGGTCAGCTGTACATAGAACCAACAAAAAGGAAGGCCATATCGAAGATGGGACTCGAAAAAAGAAAAGTATGTTATTTTGGAAGATGCTAAATTCATTTCCTTCGAAATAGATCTTATTGCATAGCAGGCTAAGGCTAGTTTGTTACTCAACAAATCGATATGCAGGGACCATTTAAGGTTCTCCTTAGGGTGCTTGTCCGTTCCGAATGTTGGCGATCATTCTGGCTATGATGACTTTGTTGGTTGCTATACGAAATAGCTGTGTTGAGGTCTTTCTATACCATGCTCCCAGGTTAGCAAGCCAGGATATTCTTCTTCGTACTGTGGCCCTTTTTCCTTCAATTTTATTTTTTAAAAGGCATTGAAGTAGGTCGTATCTGCCTTGATTTCTCATTATATGGACCAAGTACTGCAGCTTACGGCCCTTAACGATATTGACCAAATCCGCAATTGTGTTCATTCTCCGCAGTACTTCTTCATTGGTGACTTTGTCTGTCCATGGTATCTTCAAGATCCTTCTGTATGACCATAACTCAAAAACCTGAAGTTTTGATAGAGTTTCCGCCTTTAGTGTCAACGTTTCTACTCCCTACAGAAGCACTGAGTACACATAACATTTAAGGAGCCTTAATTTTGTTTCTAGGGGGAAGTCATGGCTCTTGAACACAGAACTCATAGTCAAGAATGCCCTATTTGCCTTTCCGATGCCACATTTAATCTCTTAGGTATTGTCCCATGACTCCCATTTAAGGTTACTGTCCATAAAAATGCCAAGAAATTTTATAGAATCAATTATACTGATCTGGCTGTTATTAAGAAGCAAGGATTGAAGAGCTCCTTTATAGAATAATGCTACTGTCTTATCCACTTTAAAAGAGAATAAATTAGAGTCTGACCAAATTTTTATTTTAAGTAAATCAGAAGTTATAATTGCTTGAAGCGTTGCAATATTGAAATTCTTCCAGGTAATACTGGTATCATCAGCAAAAAAATTTTTTCATTGATTTTTAAGTTAGTGATGTCATTTATAAAGATATGGAAAAGTAAAGAACCCAGTACTGAACCTTTTGGTACTCCACATACAATGCTTTTGTGACGTTTGAGTCAGTATCATTTGCTCAAACTAGTTGTTTCCTATTCCTTAAGTAAGATTGGAACCAATTCAAAGAAATACCTCGAATTCCGTAGAAATTTAGTTTTTTTATCAAAATGTCATGATTTACGCAATTAAAAGCTTTGGCATAGTCACGAAAAACAGTGGCAGTATAAAGATTATTGTTTAGTGCTTGATATACCTCATGTACTACAGTAAACATAGCATCGCTGGTACATTTATTTGGATAGGACAGGTAGTAAGGCAATAGGTCTATAGTGGCAGACATTAGATTTATCACCATCCTTATGAAGAGGAACAATAATGGCTGTCTTTAGGCACTCTGGAAATAAACCTTTTTTAAAGGAATCGTTAATTAGTGAGACCAGGACTTCCAATACATTATTATAAAATGTTTATGGATAGTCCATCAGTACTACAGGAATATTTTCTTTTGATACTACTGATTGTCTGAATCAGTTCAGATTTATCAACTGGTCTTGTAAAGAATGAAGTCGAGGTTTTTTTGAATTGGGAAGATAGGAAATAGGATCTTCTTGTGACAAAATAGCTAACGTTATATTTTTACTCACATTAATGAAGTATTCATTTAGATTTTCCGGGTTTGGAAGAGAAAATGTTTGAGCTGTGTTAGTTTTATTTCGAAGATCGTTTATTATGGACCAAGTTTCCCTTGCAACATTTTTAGAACTGCCCAGACGATTATCATAGTACATTTTTTAGCTGTTTTGATAAGTTTTAGATAGGTTCCTCTGTACTTGGAGATATATTCAGTGACAAAGACATTGGTATTAATGTCTTGATGTACAGTAGTGAACGCATATTCTTGGCTGATATGCGGATACCCTTGGTAGTCCAGGGTTTGTGATGTTTTGGCTTAATTGTTAATAAAAAAAATGCCTTATTGAAAATACAGACAAGCTTATCTAAAAAATGACTGGAAATTATAGTCCCCGTCCACAGAGGAAAAGTGCCATCCAGAAGTTGAGCAACAATTTTGGAATTTACGAAAGTTCTGGGCTAAAGAAATCCTACCTAAACGATATGTTTTCGAGGATTGGTTCTTAAGAATGTTAAAATTTCTATATACTGCTTCATGGTCAGAGAGTTCTGCATAAATCCTTGTAGAACGTATATCAAGGGGTGAGAAATTTGAGACAATATAATCAATTATGGTAGATGTTGTTTTAGTAATTCTTGTAGGAGAATCAACGTGCATTGTGAAACCATACGATTCGAAAAAAAAAATCGATTTATTCAACAGAAAGTCATATTTTGTTATCCCTTTTCGGGCAAGTGGTTCCACAGCGGAACCACAAATTCATAAATTTCTAAAACCTTTCCCAGTAAACGCTTGCCGGAACCACGTTCAGACCGGTGTTCCCTACCATTTTGTGTTTTAGATCGCTAATGCGGCGACTTTCTCGGTGGCTTCAGTTTGTTTCAAGGAGCGGTAGATGTATGTTACCTTTTTACTTTTTGTCACGCATAACGAATTTTTTTATTTCAACTACGCAAATAAAAGATATGTCAGGTAAGTGGATCATAAATATATACATATTGATGTTATTTTAGAGTTGTTACAAAAAAGTTCTTATATTTTTTTATAAATATGTTGTTTTTTTGCTTTCAAAATATGTGGTTCCATGTGGACCCACAAAGCCTATTATTAGCATAATATAAATATTTGTTTTTATTGTTTCAGGAAACCGTTTCCTTAGAGAGCTTGAAGCTCTCGAAGCTGATGAGGTATTTCAACTTATTGAAGAGATACCATCCGGAGAAGAATCAGAAGCTTCCGAAATAGATTCAGATGATGATGGACGAGAGGATGAACCTCCCGATGATACCAATGATGAATCATTTGTTATTGAAGATGATCTTCAAGAAATACAAAATACTGCGGAAAATGAAGACACTGGTACGGACATTGAAATAGAATCAAGTAATCAAGAATCAAGTGAAGACGAAACTGGAGTCAATAGGAAAAGAAAACTGACAAAAAAAATACAAGACACAAATACACAAAACAAAGGTAAAAAGAAACCTAAGAATGAAGAAAAGGTAGTTGTTTGGTCCGATGATTCAAAAAAATTTGGTAAGAGTCCTTCAGTTTTTGTAAGTGATGTAGGTCCTAATGTGCCCGAAGAGATAGACGAACCGCTGGATATATTTATGCTTCTTTTTTCAGAGGAGCTTTTGGATACATTAGTATTTCAGACCAACTTGTATGCAACCTAAAAAAATAAACAATATATTCCAACAACAAAAGAAGAAATGAAATGTTTCTTAGGAATCAATATTCTTATGGGTATAAAAAAGATCCAAGCTACAGAGATTATTGGTCTGCAAGAACTGATTTACGGGACACCTATATATCATCTGCTATGTCTCGAAATCGGTTTAATTGGTTTTTGGGTAACATGCACCTAAATGACAACTTTATTGCTCCTAAAAAAGGTTCTAATGATTATGACAAATTGTATAAAATAAGACCAATGATAGATAGATTGACGGAAACATTTGATAAGTATTATAATCCCAGTAAATGCCAGTCAGTTGACGAAGGAATGATTAAGTTCAAGGGGCGAAGCTCACTACGACAATACATGCCGAAAAAACCGACAAAAAGGGGTTATAAAGTATGGGTGCGAGCAAATGAATCTGGTTTTATTTCGCAATTCCAGATTTATACAGGTAAAACAGGTGATCTTGCAGAAAAAAGGTTAGGGGCTAGAGTGGTCAAAGATTTAACAAGTAGTCTTGCTGGTAAGTGCCATGAAGTGTATATGGACAATTTTTTTACTTCTTATCTACTCTTAGAAGAACTACGAGCCCAATATATATATATATATATATATATATATATATATATATATATATATATATATATATATATATATATATATATATATATATGCTTGTGGAACAGCAAAGCTGAATAATAAATTTTTTCCCAAAGATTTCTCTAACGATAAATCAATGAAACGTGGTGACACATGTTGGAAAATTAGTAATGGGGGCATATTGGCAACAAAATGGATGGATAACAAATCTGTTCATTTCTTAAGCAATTTTCATAACCCTGAAGATATGCAGGAATTCTCAAGACAGCAAAAAAGATGGCTCCAAAAAAACTTTCACTGGTCTTACAGTAGTGACAGATTATAATAAACATATGGGTTACGTAGACAAATCAGATATGTACAAGGCTTGCTATGCAATAGATCGTAAATCTAAAAAATGGTGGCATCGAATTTTTTGGCATTTTATTGATCTAACAATTGTAAACGCATATATTATTTCCAATTTTTGGTGTTAAATTTTACGATAAATAACACAATTTTTGTTGAGAAATACATTTTAATGCAAATAGCATAATTCGGGCTGCAAAGGGTTATAGGAGGGTAATCATTATTTGTAGAAAGAATTAGAGTACCACCATGAGCTGAACTTGAAAGATCAATTGTGGTATATTTTTCTACAAAAAAAGACTCGTTAACTGCAACCCAGTGTTCGGTAACCGCAACTATCGGGGGAAATCCTCATTCCTTTAGAAACACAAATATTTCATCTGTTTTATATCTAATAGAACGAATATTAATCAGAACCATGCTAAAGTTGTCATCACTATAAAAATGTGAGGTTTCTAGTCCTATACTTGACTCTTCCTTGATTTTTGTAGATGATTAGTTCTTTCCAAAGTGATAAAGGAGCTCAAAGCAGCAAGATCAGCTTTTACATCATTTTTACCAATTCCATAGGCATCGTTCAATTCTAAAAAGATTTTTGTAGATCTTCAGTCTTAGTGGGAAGTCCTTCGGAAGCCCAAAAGAGTTTACCGCTTGTGTTAGTGAATCCTTTGTAACATACTGAAGCAGGTTGGTCGTGTAGAAAAGCAAGATGTAGTTTATTGGCTTTCAAGATATTCGGTTCGCTTAATCTTGCTAGAAGATATCAACTGTTTGAGTTATTAGTTAATCTAACTCTTGGTGGGGTCAAAGGATCCAGATTTATCGATGGTTCCAAAGTATCCTTAAGAATGAAGTTAATATGAAAATGGAAAGCATTCTTCGATTTACAAATTTCGATGGCCTGCTTCTTTTGTTGTTGCTTAAACTGGTAATTCGATTTTCCAAGCTAACGGGGCTTCCGATGTTCTTCGGACTCATACTTGACTCAGATGAAGGCATTGGATCGGAAGATTCTGTAGACTATTTAATGTTTACACCAGTTGGCCAAATTTCCTTTTTAAATAATAAGTCAATGTAGGTTTTAGATTTTGTGCCTATTTTGAATGAGGAACCACTCGCTGTGTCGGAATCTTGAAGGAAGGCATAACCTCTAATATATTTTTTGATACTTAGCTTCTCTTTAATAAAGTAAACAACTTGTATAGGGGTGTAAATTTTGGATAAGTTGGTACCAACTTAAGCCCAATATAAAACATACTGTGAAGCCGATGAACCCCCTCTGGATTAGACGACAGTACCTTCTTTCTTATGCTGCATATGTCTCTTTGAACCCCCTTAATGCTTTTTATTGTTTATTCACAACAACCTATACAACACCTTTCCCAATAATAAAACCTACATTTTCTATATTCTCCATAATAATAAGCGACATCAACTTTACACTCACAAATATCATCCACTTACATCCAATTTCCGCTTGACACATGTTTACACATGTGTCAAACAAAAAGTTAACAAAGTTCAAAAAATTCACCTAAATAGCTCATTTAAAAATTCAGCTAAAAAGCTCATAATAAAAGCATTTTTTAAATTATACACAATAATCACTTTGATCAAGTATTATACACCGATGATCCCAAAAGTGATTTAAGAGTTGGCTGTTCAGTTACCTTTAACCCTCCGTCAGTTGCATGGGTTGTCAAAATTATACAAGCTCGCCAATTTTCAATACTATTATTGAACCCTAAAGTAAGGAAAACCCACCTTCATAGTACCTTCTTAGACGGGTTTAGTCTACCGCTCACTCGTATTTGTAACGTCCTAGTGATTGAGTGTGTTTACATCATCGAGCAAAAAGACAATAGAGGGAATGTAAAGGTAGTGGGGGCAAACATATTGTTAGACAGGAAGTGCGATCTTTAGAGGCCACATTAAACAAGGAAAGAGAGTCTCTCTCTTTGTTTGACATTAAATTTAGTTGGGTTATGTTATTGTTTCTCCCAAATGTCACATAAAATCTTATTTATATTGAAGTTTTTTAACAATTTTGTCGCATTTTAGACTATTATCATTAATAATTAATTAAAACTTTCTCGTCTAAGACACATTCTGAAAAATATTATATAGCTACTGTTGATAAGTGTCGGAAAATTTAAATTTGGCGCATTCGCATTTCCGGATATATAAGTCTCTTTTTATAAGGATTAGATTCCCTCTTTTGTCTTATTGCTCGATGGTTTACATACAAGCGTATTGTATCATATTGTTACATTGCGACACAACGTGTAAGTGTTGCTTTACTTTAGCCTTATTTTGGGCTATTTTCGGCCTACTTATTATAGGTGAGTGTGTTATTTTTTATTTTTATTTTCAGTATAATGGCTGCAAAGCGGATTTATAACCTAAATACTACGAATGATTAGCATATCTTCGAACATTTTTGTTAGAAAAGGACGAAAATAAAGATGCCCTTAACCAAGTGGAAGTTTTCGAGAATGAACCAGATTTACACGACAATTTATTTTACTTTGAAAAAGATAAATCAACTAGATATATGAAAACACCGCGCGCGAAGAAGCGACGCACTGAGCCACATAACCTGATTACACGTCTCCCAGGAGTAATACATGACACACGACTAGCTAAGTTACATATAGAATATTGGAGTCAGATATTTTCTGATAAAATGCTACAAACAATAGTCAACTTCACAAACCAGTACACTCATCTTGAAGTAAGCGATCTCTTTGACCGACAACGTGATGCAACTTACACGGACCTGACAGAACTCAAGGCCTTCATAGGCCTTTTATATCTAGCAGGAACTTTGCACGCCAACAAAATAATACCAGAGGATCTCTGGAGTACAGATAGATACGGCGTGAAAATATTTCGACTGGTTATAAGTCTCAGAAGGTTCAAGTTTATTATGAGATGCCTGCGTTTCGATGACCGCATCAAAATATCTGAAAGGAAAGCTGTTGACAACATTGCGCAGATTCATGAACTCTTCGGCGATTTTGTTTATAATTGTAAACATAGCTATTCACTGGGACAGTATGTGACTATTCACGAAAATGTAGAGGTTTTTAGGAGACGTTGCAGGTTCAAACAAAATATCCCTTTAAAGCTATCCAAATACGGAGTAAAAATTTATGCTATGTGTAATGCAATTACTTTTTATAGTTATAGCCTGGAAATATATGCTGGAAAGCAACCCCAGGGAACCTATGAACCATGTGATATCGTTAGAAGATTGGCACAACCTATTTATAAAAAGTTTTGCAATATAACGGCAGATAATTGGTTAACAGATGTGCAACTTGTTACCGAATTAAAAAGTAATAGACTTTCGTATGTTTTCACAATAAAAAAAATAAAAGAAATCTGCCAGTAGATTTGCTAAATGTAAAAGGGTGACCACCACAGGCAAATATGTTTGGTTTTGAAGAACACTCCACTATTGTTTTCTACGTACTAAAAAAGAATCGAAATGTTCTTGTTATATCTTCTCAGTATTACGATGATTCCATAGATCAGATGTCAGGACAAGCT